GCGGGGGGAAAGCCCGCATCGGCTCCTCAACACCTCCCCTCCCCGCCCCGTGGCACGCGGCGGGCGCTCCTTCACGTGACCGGGAGCGAGCAGCGCGATTGGGCGGCGGCGTCGCTGGGGGCCGGGAGCGCGGCTGTAGGAGAGGGCGTTGGCTGCGGGCGCCGGGCCTGGGGATGCTCGCGCTCTTGTCCAGGGCGCTCTCCTACTTCTGGAGACGGGCAGGCGACGAGGAAGGAGCAGATGAGCGATGGGCGGCCTCAGGTGGGAGTTCCTGGGCCTGTTCTGGGTTTGCAGTGCCTGGTGCAGGGCCTGTGCGCAGCTTCAGAGCCGTGAGGGCGTTGGTGGTCCCGTCCCCCACATGAGTGGGGCTGAGTGAAGACCTGTTTCCTTAGGAAAGAAAATCAGGAAAAGCAGACAGCTTTTTGACTACAGAGCATGTGGGAGTGTTCCTAGCAGTGCTTTTTTTCTGTGTTTCCTGAGTAGGACAGGTTACTCTTGCTGCTTAGAGTACGGAGTAAGGGGAGTGTTGTGGTGGTGGGTGATGGACGCTTTGGGCTTTCATTTGTACTACTGTCTTAATAAATAGACCTTCGTCTGTCTTAGGCTGTGGAACGGGGAGGATAGTGTAGCTTTGATGTTTTGAGGCTCAGAAATGGTGTTCATGTAAGATGCTTTTAGTAGCATTATTCAATGTAGCAAAAAGTGCTTTTTCATGTTTGTGAATACAGAAAGCAAAAAAGATGGCTTACTGCATTAATAGTCTTGATTGTGAGTGTAGCTAATATTTTGGAAATCTAAATGAGCATACTTCAGTCTAGCTTTAAGCCTGAAGTTGTAGTGCAGTGCTGTTGAGTGAAAGTTTCTGTGATGTGTAAGTAGTTACAACTTCTAATCCAAAAGACTTGAAACTCCTAGGTCTCCAGAGAAACAGCACCACATCTCAGTTCAGAAGTGTATTAACTATATTATATAAACAAATTTGAAGAATTAATTTATATAGCTTGTTTACTTTTCCTGCTTTTTAGTATAGAAATCTTAAATGTGTTGGATTCCCCATGCAAACAATCCTGAGAACTTTCTTTTACTATGGAAAATCTTGAAAATAGTTTTTGGCCCAGAGCTTTTGGGAGAAGGTATTTAGCTTGCAGGTATTTTTATCTCAAGTTTTTCAAGGTATTTGAATATGGCACCTGAAATGGGGTAATCCTGGCCTAGCTGAACAGGGAGCTTTTGCTGGAACTCAGCAAAAAAAAGAAAGTTTATAGCCTTTGGAAGAAGAGGCAGGCCACTCAGGAGAATTACAAGGATGTCAGGAAGTTATGCAGGGAGAAAATTAGAAGGGCCAAAGCCCAACTAGAACTTAGTATTGCTACGGCTGTAAAAGACGATAAAAAATGTTTCTACAAATACATTAGCAACAAAAGGAGGGCTAGGGAGAATCTCCATCCTTTATTGGATGCGGGGGGAAACGCAGTGACAAAGGATGAGGGAAAGGCTGAGGTACCTAATGCTTTCTTTGCCTCAGTCTTTAACAGTCAGACCAGTTGTTCTCAGGGTACCCAGCCCCCTCAGCTGGAAGACAGGGATGGGGAGCAGAATGAAGCCCCCATAATCCAAGGGGAAATGATTAGCGACCTGCTACACCATGTAGACACACACAAGTCTATGGGGCCAGATGGGACCCACCCAAGAGCAGCTGAGTAAAAGTTTTTGTGATATGTAAGTAGATACTACTTCTGGGAGTATCTAGGTATCTAGGAGTATACTACTAGTACTATATACTACTATCTGGGACTATCTAGTATCTAGGAGGGAACTGGCAGAAGTGCTCACAAAGCCACTTTCCATCATCTACCAGCAGTCCTGGCTAACTGAGGAGGTTCCAGTCGACTGGAGGTTAGCAAATGTGACACCCATCTACAAGAAGGGTCGGAAGGAGGATTCTGGGGAACTACAGGCATGTCAGTCAGTCTGACCTCGGTGCCAGGGCAGGTTATGGAGCAGATCATCTTGAGTGCCATCATGTGGCACATATGGGACAACCAGGTGATCAGGCCTAGCTAGCATGGGTTTATGAAAGGGAAGTCCTGCTTCACTAACCTGATCTCCTTCTATGACAAGGTGACCCACTTAGTGGATGAGGGGGAGGCTGTGGATGTTGTCTACCTGGACTTTAGTAAGGCCGGTCACAAGTGGTGTTCCCCAGGGCTCAGTATTGGGGCCAGT